TTCTCCTCCTACCTCTCTGGCCGGTCGCAATCGGTATTGGTGGGAGGGCAGAGGTCAACCCCGAGGCCCCTTGAATGCGGTGTGCCGCAGGGGTCGGTCCTCTCCCCCCTCCTATTTAACATTTATATGAAGCCGCTGGGTGAGATCATCAGACAGCACGGGGTGAGGTTTCATCAGTATGCTGATGATACCCAGTTATATATCTCCTCCCCGAGCTCTCTCAGTGAAGCAGCCGATGTGATGGGCCGGTGCCTCGAAGCTATGAGGGTCTGGATGGGGGTTAACGGACTCAGGCTCAATCCTGACAAGACCGAGTGGCTTTGGATGTTGCCTCCCAAGGATCATGTTGACGGTCCAGTGTTGACTCTTGCGGGGGAAAATATACCCCCTTCGGAGCGGGTTCACAACTTGGGTATCCTCCTTGATCCACAGCTGAATTTGGAACATCATTTGACGGCTGTGGCTGGGAGGACCTTTGCACAAGTTCATCTGTTGCACCAGTTGCGACCCTACCTGGACCGGGAGGCTCTCCTTACAGTCACTCATGCCCTTGTCACCTCACGTCTGGACTACTGCAACGCGCTCTACATGAGGCTACCCTTGAAAAGTATTCAGAGACTACAGTTGGTCCAGAATGCAGCCGCGCGAGTGATAGTGGGTGCTCCTCGATACACCCACGTTACACCTATCCTCCGTGAGCTGTACTGGTTGCCTATTGGTCTCCGGGTCCAATTCAAGGTGTTGGTTATTACCTTTAAAGCCCTATGTGGCTCAGGGCCAGGCTATTTGCAAGACCGCCTACTACCTCATAGTTCCCTTAGTCCGGTTAGATCCCACAGGCTGGGCCTCCTTCAGGTCCCATCGGCCAAGCAGTGCCATTTGGCGGGGCCGCGGAGGAGGGCTTTCTCTGTGATGGCGCCCACGTCTTGGAACCAGCTCCCCCCGGAGATTAGGACCGCTCCCATCCTGTTGGTTTTCCGTAAGCTGCTTAAGACCTGGCTTTTCCGTCAGGCCTGGGGTTTATAAAATCTGACCCCTGGATGACTGTTCTTGTACTGTTTGTTTTGTTATGTTTTATGGTGTTTTTATTGTTAGCCGCCCAGAGTCCTCCGGGAGTGGGGCGGCTTATAAATTTTAAAAATAAATAAAAATAAATAAATAAATAAACTTGCAAATGAAATGAATAAATGTAGAGATTGCCATCAGAGACAATATGAATTAAATTAATTAAACCCATCCAATACACTGTAAAATAATACACTTTTAAAGTAGTATGATGCCATCTACTGACTAATTTGGAGTCGAAGTTTGATTCCAAAATTTTGGAGGATTTGCACAGCATCATTTTGAAAGGTTTTTTTTTTTTTTTTACCATAATGCACAGTTCAAATCCTTTGTTTATATTTTTAAAAAAGAGTTTCAGGAGAATCTGTTACATATAATGTTGAAATGCCTTTGACTAAATAGTGTGAATATTGTTACGTTTTAGGATTAAGATCTCATTATGTTTTAGATGAAATTACTCATTGTTTCATCTGATATCCTACAAGTTATGGTCAGGAAAAAGATTTCCCATCAATATTCAAATCTCAAATTCTCTAAAATCTGTTGTCTTCCCATTCTGTACACAGATCATATTTATCTGTAACATGTTTACAATCTGAGATCAAAGAAGGGGAGAAAAGGGAAGAATTAGGACTTATAAATTGTAAAATTTAATATTTCTCCAAATATTAAATTAAATATCATTTCTCCACTCCAGGGGCTCAAAGCAATTTTACACGGAACTCGATTTTATACAAGCAGTAAGTAAACAGGGTTATTGGTAGTACCAGCTTGCTTATGTAAAAGTATTCAGTTCAAATTGTAATTAAATTATATCATTGATAGGATCTGAAAGAAAAAAAAAGCGTATTAGCTGCAAATAAATTTAATCCATAAGTTTTATTTTTACGTTGTTCTTGAACATGGATCTTCCTCCTAATACTTAGATGAGATTGAACTAAAGTGGAAAAAAGAGGAAACTGAGGTATTGTATGATTCCACTGATGATGCTGAAGATTTCTCTGAAGAAAATAAAGGAAGCTGTTTTTCTTAAGCTTTAAGAGAAAGTCCTACTACAAAATCAATTTTTGACCAATAGGTCTACATATTTATGTTCCAGATTTTTTTATTGGCATGATGTTGTCTTAGCAAGAATTCTATGGATGTTTCTAAACTTTGCAAGGCCTCTAGATGGCGACCTTTATAGGTATGTTTCTAGGAAATGAAAGGCTTGGAATTCTACCTAGGGTTCTATAATTGGTGTACTGCCATTGGAGCTAGATGGCAGCAACAAAATAAAAATAATTAAACAAAATTTAATATTGAATATTTTAATATTTTGTATCTTAGTTTTTATGTTTGTAAGCCACCCAGAGCCATTTGACAGTGAGATGGATGGCATATAAATTTAATAAAATTTTCTGCCATTTTAGTGGTGCTAAACTTTAGCAGCTTATATCTGGTATTTTGCAGGTTGGTTATAATTTCACAACAAAACACTATCTTTATGCAGTAGAAAACTCCTTATCTGTGATTTATCAGAAGGAGACTGGCAACACATTTTCTGCCTAACTAATTTTATTAAAAAGCATATGCTTTTGTGAGCTTCAGTTCACTTCATCAAATAAAATGGAATGGCTCTGTCACTTATAACTGAACATTAAAGTAAGTTGTGGTAGAGTAGAAATATGGAATAGGAAGGAAAGAAGGAATCTTTCTTTCCTATAATTAATTATGGGAACAGTGCTACCCTTAAGGCCATGGTGATAAAGCCAGTGCTTCTTGGTGATCTGGTTCACACACTTAATTTTAAGTCATAAAAATAGGCAGTTCAATTTAGAATGATTTTTATTTCCATTTTTTCATATACCTAGTCTTTTGTTAGTTCAAAGACAGAAATAGTTTATGCAGTTCAACGGTTGGTGAACAGAACGTTGGGAACAATTGTTAAAAGAAAATCTGATTTGTTCTGAGCTGGAACAAGAAAAAGAATGCAGAACATAGGCAATTGCTTGAAGCAGAGGTGAAGTTTATTTCCGAGAACAGAATAAAGGCCAACTATCAGAGGTGGACACTCTGAGCCCTTTGCCACAACCCCTTTGTATAGAAAAATCTTGTCTTTGAAGCTGGGCAGAAAGAATCCAATAGAAGAGAATATATGTAACTCATGGATGAACTGTGGGCTCCTTGGTGCTCTCTGAGCTTGGTTGTTTCCTTGCAGATGTTTCATTACGCAACTAGATAACATCATAGAGTCAGGTACCCTGCTGAACAGTTCTGCTTATTTCCTGCTCAGTTAGCATTATAGATAGAAATGGCATTCTCATGGAGGAAAAGATACTTTGTTTATAAATGGGTGAAATCTCTAGCACCCTGAAAGGAAGTTTACCTGAAGGAGCTGCTGCCTTTGGCCAATGTCAACCTCATTGTCAAGTTTGTTACCTTTTGTCTTGTGCAGTTTCTCATCTTTTGCCCTGGAAATGGCTGTGAGATTGGGACAAGGGAAGACTGAGTGGCAAGGAAGATTTTGACTTCCTTCCCACCCAGCAATAAACATAAAAAATATTGATAAAATACTTACAATTCTCAATTAGTTTAGCTAAGAGATTTCCTGCTGGAATTGAAGTCCTAACATATTGGAGAATATCAAGTTGCAGACATCTGATATCATGAAACAAACATTCCATAGGCTGAACTATTGCATGAAGATATTTTTGTGAGATGTGAAATGAAAATAGGATGGAATTGGAAGTTTAAAAGGGGAATCAAAGTAGAACACACTTATGCCATAACATAGTGTACAGCACACCTGCATTGTTGGCACTCCCAGAACTGACCCAATGAATCAGTGGTAAAGATATACACTAATGGTATTTGGGCCGATTAAAGAATTTGCACAATACACTCACCTTCTCAGTTTTCAACTTAAGCTGAGCTGTTGACTGCAGGTTTCAACGAAAGGAAATGTAAGACAGTTTTTTTTAAAGCTTAGCATAACATTTCATGCATATAGAATATGCATAATCCCAGAAACAAAATAATTGTATTGTAGTTGTATTGTAATTAAACACTAATTGTTATGAGGTCTTTATTCCATTTTCACACACTGCCTTTATTCCTATGTACTGTTAAGGTATGAAAGCTTGCTTAGTTTATGGTTAAGTGTGAACTTGACTAAAAACATCTGCAAACCATGCTTAAAATGCCAAATGAAGTTATTCAACACTATGCCTAAAAGAAACCACAGTTAGCCAATGTTAATCACTCATTGAGGATTTGCCAGATCGCTTAACTCTCTGTTCTATTCTGTCAAAAGATGAAGTTGTTGGGTATGTGTCAAGAATTGGGGTCGATGAATAAAAAATAAAAAAATTCTGCTTGCACCCACAAATCCTTGAATTAATCACCGATTGACATACTCCAAGAAGATAACAGTGCAGATTTTCTATTCCACCACTGAATTTAAGGTCTAACTAAGGCAGTGGTTCTCAACCTGTGGGTCGGGACCCCATTTGGGTCAAATGACCATTTCACGGGGGTCACCAAACCATGCTGTCCACCATTTTTTTCCCTTTTCCCTAGCTGTCCTACTCCCTCTTATTGGTGGCCACACCCACTTGGGGGTCACCACAACATGGGGAACTGTATTATGGGGTCACGGCATTAGAAAGGTTGAGAATCACTGAACAAAGGTCTCTAAACAAACCTTCCTTGAAATAACCGAAGCTTCTCAAATAATTAAAACTCTTCAGTACAAGGAAAGAGGAGTCAGCCACTAGAGGAGGCTACTCCACCACCGACAACAGTGGGCGGTAAAAGAATGAACGTTCAGCTCAGCCTATGAACCGAGCTTTGGTTTCTAGAGACAACCAATGAAAAACAGCAGGTAAGCCCTCATCTAGCCAATCGGCTCTTTTCCTCCGGAGGGGATGTGGGGAAGTATAAGCTCTACCTTTTCCTTTCCATCGTCATTAATCGCATCACTGCAATAGTAGAGGTTAGTTGAGTCAGGGCGATACTACTTCGGCGTCTTTATCGATGCAAAACGGAGCTTCCTTCGTGGCGGGTGGACCTGAATTGTGACGCGGATTGAGTGTTGCAGCGTTCTAGAAGTTGTCCCTAACGAGCAAGAAAGGAGGAGTTTTCGATTCGTGGTGGCGGCTACGCTGGGGTTCTGGGAGCCCTGTCCCCTGCTTCCCCAGGCCCCACTGCCAGCCCTACAAACTTTCAGCCATGCCGTCCAAAGAATGAATTTGGGGGATCACGACTTGCTGTCTGCGCGGGAGCAGTTATTCCACGAGAGGGTCCGAGAGTGTATTGTGAGTACACTGGTTTGTTAATGATAACCCGAATTGGGTGTCCCCCCCATTATTTTCGTTCATACGACTAGAATTTTAGCCTCATTATCCCCAGTAAATTAGGGACTTGTAGTCCAATACCTTTGAAAAAGGGGAAGGATTCATATTTTATTCCCGTTAATGAAGACAAAAAAAATCGACTACGGGGATGGTGGTTTTGTCAAGGCGAGTGGAAGCACTAAGGAAAAAGAGACCAGGTATTTAGAGCTGAAGAGCAGTGAATGCCATTAGTCCTCTTGTTTGATAAAATTACATTCTTCTGTGCTCTTTTATCTAAGGTAATTGAAGAGGAATTTGAAAAAAGCAAGTTATAGCTGAGAACTAACTAGAATTGCTTGCTGCCAGAGACAAAAGCCAATCCGTATATTTACAGCCATGCAATTTGGTGCCCTCCAGATACAGTTATTTTGGACTGCAACACATTGATTATGTTTATGCATTAAATTATGGTTGCCATAACCAAAAAGCCATATAACTTTATTGTGTGAATCAGGTCGTCGTGTTTTTTGGCTAAGCTTGTAGTGTGAAGATTAATCTTGGCTTAATGTTTAGCATTAAGTTTCCTACTAGGTGCCAATTTGGGGAAAACTTTTTAAAATGTCCATTTCTATTCAGCTTTTCTTCAAGGACTTGACAATAAGTTCATTTGCTAATAATGAAAAAAGTAATTAAAAGAGATGATTCTGTAGCTCTTTTCAGGTCTATCGCACAAGCTTCTCTCTTTAAATTATATTTTTCCTACTTTATATTGTTTTCAGTTGGAAGGAAGGCAGCCAGAGCAAGTTTGGTCTAGTGCAGTGATTCTCAACCTTTCTAATGCCGTGACCCCATAATACAGTTCCCCATGTTGTGGTGACCCCCAAGTGGGTGTGGCCACCAATAAGAGGGAGTAGGACCGATAGGGAAAAGGGAAAAAATGGCGGACAGCATGGTTTGGTGACCCCCGTGAAATAGTCATTCGACCCCAAATGGGGTCCCGACCCACAGGTTGAGAACCACTGGTCTAGTGGCAAAGATACCAAGCTAGAAAGCAGGAGACCCTGAGTTCTAGTCCCACTTTAGGCATGAAAACTGGCTGGATGATTTTGGGCCAGTCTCACACACACTCAGCCCAACTCGCCTCCCAGGGATTGTTGAGGAGAAAATAGGAAGAGGAAGTCGTGTTGGATATGTTCGGCACCTTGAGTTATTTGTAAAACTAATAAAGGTGCGATACAAATGAATAAATATACCAAGATAGACAAAAAAAAAAATCTTATGGACTGTCCAGCTTTGCCAATCTGCAGTTGCCCTGCCACCTGAACCCAGGTGGATTTCTTGCCCAATAAATGTGGATGCAATGTATATTTATATATAGATACAGGATATGACCGGATATATGTGAACTAATTAAAACTAATGATTAATATTGCCTGCAAAGTAAATGCACTTCTTTCTGAAAAGCACTAGGTAACATCAGTGCTTATATGCAATTATATGTGCACCCGAGAATGAAATGTTCTAGAGAACTCTGGAATATTCAATCCCTCTTCTGAGCCACACAGCTTTGGCCATTATAGGAAGGGGGTAGTCTGGCAGTTTTCAGAAACAAATTCTCTGGAATGGCCATAGTATGGATGTAGTTTGGATTCCTGAATTAACAGGCTTGTTTCAGGATTGGGCCATATCCAACATGCCACAAAAGCAAATTAACCTCTAGACAACTAGCAGAGCATTTCCAAAATGGCAGAATCAGCCTAGACCTGAGGAATAGAGCAGAACACTCTGCACATCTCCACTTCTTTCTGGCAGAAGCTTTAAAAAAAGAAGAGAGGAAAATACAGTAAGATGGAGAGGGGTTGAGAGAAAGAGAGAAACCTTGTTTAGAATCTGGAAAAAAGTCAATTCCAAGGGGGCAAGCCATCTCTCTGTTCCTCCCACTCTTGTAGCAATTTGGCAAGATAATTTCTATCAGCAGTATGATAGCAATGAAGTATATGAAGTAACAAATATGTTAAGGTAATTAATAGTGGTTGGACGTGGGTGCCTGGAGACCTTAGAAGCTGAGGAAGAGTTTGAGGCTGGGACTTTTGGGTTTTAGATTTTTAAAAGTAAATACAACACTTTTCTGTCATCCGAGCGCATGAGATGCTTCAGTGAAACATACACAAGTCTAGTGAGACTTTTGCCTTAGGAAGCTCACTGTCCTGTTTTATATTTGCAAATCTGTTGGATGTGAGGAGCTTTACATGTTACTTTGAAGGTGTACCTAGCTCTTCATAAGCAATTTCAGTTTAATCCTGCTTGCTTCATAAATGTCATTAGAAATTAAGAAATTGTAATGTCCAGAGAGTTGAAATAAGTAGTTATGAAATTTTGAATGAAAAATTCAAATGTTTAAAATGCCTGTTGTCAGGTGGTTCTCAAAAGCAGAAAAGTTGTGGCTTACATGTATATTAATGTGACTTATTAAAGTGGTACATTGCTTCATTCCAAGCAATGTTGATTTTACACATGGCATAGGGCTTTTTAGAGAAAACAGCAGCTTAATCTCTCTGCCTGGTAAAACTGAGTTTCTGGGCCACTGACTGGGGATTATTGCTATTCTGTTAAAATAATGACAAGCTGAACAAAGGCAAGTTTTTTCTTGCCTATCTTCCTCAATTATATACTTCCTCCTCTACTACCCACTTAACTGTCTGCCTACAAAGTACATTATGGTTTCATACATCATCCTATGTTTAACTTCCATGAAAGATTGAGTGTAGAATTTTGACTTAGGGTGTTGTGAGAACCCAGCCAATTGTGGTTAATTAAGCAATTTATCTAGTTTAATGTCATTTCTTCTCTCTTGATCCAATGTCATGTTTATGGACCAGAGCATTCACTGGTTCATGCAGAGAACTCTGTTTTGATATCAAATGCCCAAGCAGTTAAGTTATATTTCAGAGAGAGGTCCATTGCATCTTTATTTGTACATCCTTTTCTGTCCAGAGCAACCATTCTCAAAGCTCACCATGATCTAAACCAGGGGTCCCCAATCCCTTGTCTGTGGACCAGTACTGGGCCATGGCATGCCAGCAACCGGTCCGCACAAGCAAAGCCCCATCTGTGGGATGCAGGCAACACACAAAACCAAGCATTCTCAAGTCCATGGAAAAGCCTTTCTCCACGGAACCGATCCCTGATGCCCAAAAGGTTGGGGATCTCTGATCTAAACAGGTTGTGAGAACCTTGGCAACTCTGATTGGGAGGATGGGAAAGGGGGAATTAGCTTTTCCAGCATGGCTTTGTGTGCCAAAGGTTAGTCCAGAGTTCCATCTCTGGAGTCAACACATTAGTAGGCATTTGGAGTTGTGTAACGTCTAGGTGTCTGCTTACCAGGCAATATATAGTACTCTGAATTATGCAAGACAAGCATTTAATCCTCGGTGCCTAGTTGGCATGCATAATGAGTTTTCTGAGTATTATGTTAACCTTGGAGAAATATTAAATCACTGGCATATGTGACAAGAGAGCACTGAGAATTTAAGATCAGAAAGCCCCCTCTTGATCAAGTTCCACCTGGTCCAGTATTTGTTTTTTCAAGATCAAGTACTGTAAATGATTCTGGGAATCACATATAATTCTGTAGTGTCTATTACTTCCCCTGTTGTTGCCAGTTCACCCAGCAATGATACTCAGTACTACCATACTTCTTCTCATCCTGGAACTCTTTACTATCCTGACTAATTAAATTCATAGACCAATCTTCCATGCATATCTAGTTTCTGAAAATCATGTTCTTTGGTAGCCAAAATGTGAGTTATAATAATAAAGTTGGAAGGGACCTTGGAGGTCATCTAGTCCAACCCCCTGCTCAGGCAGGAAACCCTACACCATTTCGGACAAAATGGCTGTCCAGTCTCTTCTTAAAAACTTCCAGCGTTGGAGCATTCACCGCTTCTGGAGGCAAGTTGTTCCACTGGTTCATTGTTCTAACTGTTAGGAAGTTTCTCCTTAGTTCTAGGTTGCTTCTCTCTTTGGTTAGTTTCCATCCGTTGCTTCTTGTCCTGCCTTCAGGCGCTTTGGAAAATAGCTTGACTCCCTCTTCTTGTGGCAGCCCCTGAGATATTGGAAGACTGCTATCATGTCCCCCCTCGTCCTTCTCTTTGTTAAACTAGACATACCCAATTCCAGCAACCGTTCCTTATATGTATTAACTTGTAGAAGTTAATTCCATCGATAATGCATTATATAAAGATATACTTTTGAATTATCTGCCAACTGACTTCACTGGCCCTAAAATTACTTGTTTTGAAAAGAAAAAAAGAAAATTTTAGAAATAATCTACCATGTAACCTTTTATTGGCTGGGTTGATGCACTATGCTAAGTTATGATTTCTTTCTTTAGCTTGTTTTAAAAGCCACAACTGGATAGTCATAGTTAGTTTGAAAAGGCACATTAAGCCATAGTTTAAGATTTATAAACTGAAGGGACTAAACTTAGACACACTGCTAACACCAAAAACCATATAACCCGCATACAGAAATGGCTTATTTGGATGTGTGCATCTTGCCATCTTTGTCATGTAAACTAAAGAAATCTGCAGAGATGTATGCTTTTTGCAATAGAGAAAATGTCCCAATTTGTAGATGATTTTGGTGAAATTGAGCATCTAGAACTGAATACCATGGCTAACAACTTTTCTACTTGCAAGATCTATAGCAGTGGTGGCGAACCTATGGCACAGGTGCCAGAGGCGGCACTCGGAGCCCTCTCTGTGGGCACCCCAGCCTTGCCTCCGCCCGCGACCCCCTTCTCACCAGCAGCCTCCCTGGAGGAGAATCGCCCCTGAGCATGGCCTACACGGAGCAGCGCAGCTGAAAACATGGCAGCCAGACAGCATAGACAAGACTCTGCCCTCACGCCCCAATGCGCCCAGTTGATGCTGTGGGGCGTGGGCAGAAGGTGTGGCCGCCATGGTGCTGCTGGGCTGCCT